CATGTCCATAGTCTCTGACCATATATTGTATCATGCCCACAGTCTCTGGCCATCTCTTGTATCATGCCCACAGTCTCTGAGCATCTCTTGTATCATGTCCATAGTCTCTGACCATGTTTTGTATGGTGTCTGCAGTCTCTGAGCATCCCTTGTATTATGTCCATATTCTCTGACCATATATTGTATCATGTCCATAGTCTCTGACCATATATGGTATCATGTCCATAGTATCTGACCATATATTGTATCATGTCCATAGTCTCTGACCATATATTGTATTTATTATGTCCATAGTCTCTGACCATATATTGTATCATGTCCACAGTCTCTGACCATATATTGTATCATGCCCACAGTCTCTGGCCATCTCTTGTATCATGCCCACAGTCTCTGAGCATCTCTTGTATCATGTCCATAGTCTCTGACCATGTCTTGTAGGATGTCTGCAGTCTCTGAGCATCCCTTGTATCATGTCCATAGTCTCTGACCATATATTGTATCATGCCCATAGTCTCTGACCATATATTGTATCATGTCCATAGTCTCTGACCATATATTGTATCATGTCCATAGTCGCTGACCATATATTGTATCATGTCCATAGTCTCTGACCATATATTGTATCATGTCCATAGTCTCTGACCATATATTATATCATGTCCATTGTCTCTGATTATGTCTTTTATCATGTCCGCAGTCTCTGACCACCTTTTGTATCGTGCCTATAGTCTCCAATATCCTTTTGTATTGTGCCAATATCCAGTTGTGTGTGTGTCTTCTTCTATCTGACTGAATATTCACTTAATTTTATGTTGGGGCCACCACTGCTCTACACAGTACCACTCTGAATGCTCTGCTACTGTATATAACATATATTTATTTATCACAGGTATTTATATACAACTGACAATTTACACTGCGCTTTACATATATATTGCACATTCACATCTGTCTCTGACCTTACATTCATACATGCACACACTAGGGCCAATTTAGACAGGATCCAATTCACCTACCAGTATGTCTTTGGAGTGTGGGAGGAAACTGGAGTACTCGTAGGAAACTCACATAAACACAAGTAGGACATGTAAACTCATTAAGCATAACAGCGTTGATGAATAAATAGACACTTGACTTTGGAATGGGTACACTTACTGTAATTTGCCAAAGCACAGGCACGTGGCTAGTCATTACCCAGCTTCACATACACAAAATAAAATGTGACAAAGATTACTGAGACAGTTGTTCAGTAAATGGCCATTAGACTGTGTGTGCATACAGACGTTGCTGTGCAGTGTGTCACGTAACTTCAAGAATCCAGCAAAGTTCAGAAGTGTTATTTAGCTGACATGCTTGCTGCACATGAAGTTCTGCATTCCAGAAACCAGCTGGAACTAAGGCATGGGCTATACAGGAACAAAGAGGACCTGTCAAAAGAATTAAAACAAAAATCATAAGAGTTCAGTAACATACAGGCCAGGGACGTATTCTCTTTCTCTCTTGTATATGACATAGTTACAGAGTATTATAATGTAAGTGTGAGCTTAGTGTATATGGATGCCAAAAAGGAACTCTTGGAGCATGTTTCTTTCTGCCAAGGGCTCCTTAGCACCCAATGTACAAAACTTTATTATAAAATGTTCTGTTACTGTGATGCACCAGAATACACATAGGGATTGATTTACTAAAACTGGAAAGCTCTGCATAGAATCCAATCAGTTTCCATTTTCTGTCAAAGCTTACTTGAACAAGCTGAAGTTAGACTCTGGTTGGCTACTATATACAGTTGCACCAGATTTTGCACTCTTCAGTTTTAGTAAATCAAGCCCATTGCCTGCAACTGCTACGACCGATGCCACATCTCCCATTCCCATAATATTGTTTTGTACTCCTACCTACAGCTATACTTTAACTGCTTGCCCGCCCGCCTATAATAGAACTACTGCTACAGGGATGCGCAAAATCACATATATATATATATGTGATTTGCATTTCCGGGTAGGGGGCCATTGGCAGCTAGGCATGTCAATCACCAGGTCCCGGCCGGAGATTCCCTGCTGGCACCTGTGATTGCTGTGTAAAGCTGACAGGGGAGAGATCTGCATGTATACAACACAGATCTCTCTCCTGCCAGCAAAGACATGCTGCTTTGTATTTCTCTGCACAGGAGAGAAATACAAAGCAGCATGCCTCCCTAGTAAAACACAGCACACAGTTAACCCTTTGATCACCCAAAAGTTAACCCCTTCCTGCCCAGTGCCATTAGTACAGTGTCAGTGTTTTTTATTAGCACTGATCACTGTATTAGTGTCACTGGGGATGTCAGTGACAGTTAGTCAGTGCCCCCCAGTGTCAGAATGCCCGCTGCAGTCCCGCTATAAGTCGCTGATCGCTGCCATTACTAGGATAAAAATAAATTTAAATTCCAGTATATATACCGCCATTTGTAGATGCTATAACTTTTAATTTTTTCATTGAACAAACTGAAGTTAGAAGCTGATTGGCTACCATGAACAGCTGCACCAGATTTTGCACTCCAGTTTTAGTAAACCAACTCCCGTGTCATCACAGGCCCTTCACACGGGGCAAACTCTGATTTGATCAGCAGAGGATCTGTCCGCTAATCCCCTGCTGATTGGAGAAGAGTCGTCCGTATCTACTCAGCTTAAGTTGAGCAGACACGGACACAGCCTGCTCTGCTCTATGGGCGGCTGCGTGTAAACAAACTCTGCTGTCCATTTAAACCTGACTGCCCTCTGATCTGACCCGCCTAGACAAAGGACGGATCCCCTTCCTTTTTCTTTTTTTTCAGCAGACCAGAGCAGAGGTAGGTGGGTGTAAATGGACACAAGTCCGGATACACCCGCCGGTCCATAGGGGTGAATTGACTGTCCAGTCGGGTCTGCCTGAAAAACTAAACGTGGGACCTGATTGGACTCACCATGTGAAAGGGACTTACTAGTACACTGTCCAGTGATCCTCTGAACTGCCACTTCCCCCTGCACCACCTTCTTAGTGATGTTCTCAGGAACACATGCTATTGGGGGGCTACCTCTGGGCAATCCTTTTGTCATTGTTTTATGGAATGTGCCCTTTTTTTTGTTTTTCTATCCTCAATATGTTTTGATATAAAAAAAGCTGGTGTGAGAATTGATACAGATTAGAATGTATTTTCATTTTATTGCATTGCTCTCCTTGGTGCTTTGGGACTGTACATATGTCACACACAAAAGGCTATTTTTCTCCAACATTTAAACAATAGTTACCCTGTGTTTGCATCATTTGACTGTATTGCAGTAAATTGAAGTGAATTGCATTTGTCTAGCTAGGTCTCCATTGTGTATTCAGACAGCTACACCCCAGAGACGTGAATTCCCTGCCAGATAATGCAGTTACCTAGTCATGGTGAACATCAACATGAAGGTTTTTAATGGCCACTAAGTGCAGATGGGAGGGGAACAATCCAGGCGTATTATATTACATACAGATGCCAAAATTACATCTTTTGAGGAATACAAGTAAGAAAACAGCAAAAACAATAAATATAATGACAAGGCTGAGTTTTTACATTTGCTGACCCGACAATACATAATCAATCAGTGAACTGTTTACGCCATCCAGAAAGCATTGCAATTGTGCTAAAGCTAGAAAATATTTTAATTTTTCTAATCATGGAATTTTTTGTGAAAATACAAAACACAAAGTTTGCTTCTTTTTCTAGATTAACAGTACAGAAAAAGAAGTAACATTACATATATCACATTACAACAATTTGATAAAGCATACCTCACTTTGTAAACCCATACAATTTAAAATAGAAATGAAAGGCAAAACATTTGTGTACACACATAAGCAACCATTTTAATTACCTTTTTCCCCTTTTCTATAAGTGACCACATGCCCTCTCTTCTGGGGGAGGAGAAACAACAACACACTAATCTTCTCTGTGAATGGCTGTGCTGAATGGGGAGGGGGGGTGGGGTCAGGACAAGTCTGATTATTGGAAGAGAGCAGGCTGAGTTCCCAGCATAGCTAGAGAACTGACTACGGTGTGTTCTCCTGCCTAATGTGGTCAGTTTTTAATAGGAAAGCAGAGGGACTGTCAGGAACACCAGGGATTTCACACAAAGTAAGCAATACATAGTACAAGTACTGTACATGGTACAGCATGCGCATACACTATATTGCCAAAAGTATTGGGACTCTTGCCTTTACACGCACATGAACTTCAATGACATCCCAGTCTTAGTCCGTAGGGTTCAATACTGAGTTGGCCCACCCTTTGCAGCTATAACAGCTTCAACTCCTCTGGGAAGGCTGTCCACAAGGTTTAGGAGTTTGTCAATAGGAATGTTTGACCATTCTTCCAGAAGGGCATTTGTGAGGTCAGGCACTGATGTCAGACGAGAAGGTCTGGCTCGCAGTCTACACTTTAATTCATCCCAAAGGTGTTCTATTGGGTTGCAGGCCAGTCAAGTTCCTCCACCCCAGACTCGCTCATCCATGTCTTTATAGACCTTGCTTTGTGCACTGGTGTGCAGTCATGTTGGAACAGGAAGGGGCCATCCCCAAACTGTTCCCACAAAGTTGGGAGCATGAAATTGTCAAAAATGTTTTGGTATGCTGACGCCGTAAGAGTTCCCTTCACTGGAACTAAGGGGCCAAGCCCAACCTTTGAAAAACAACCCCACACCATAATCCCCCCCTCCACTAAAGTTTACACTTGGCACAATGCAGTCAGGCAAGTACCATTCTCCTGGCAACTGCCAAACCCAGACATGTCCATCAGATTGCCAGACAGAGAAGTGTGATTCATCACTCTAGAGCACAGTGGCGGCGAGATTACACCACTACATCCAACGCTTTGCATTGCACTTGGTGATGTATGGCTTGGGTGCAGCCGCTCGGCCATGGAAACCCATTCCATGAAGCTCAACAACAACTGTTGTTGTGCTAATCTGAAGGCCTCACAAAGTTTGGAGGTCTTTAGCTTTTGACTCTGCAGACAGTTGGCGACTTCTGCGCACTGTGCGCTTCAGCATGCACTGACCCTGCTCTGCCATTTTACGTGGTCTACCACTTGGTGGCTGAGTTGCTGTTGTTCCCAGTTGCTTCTGCTTTGTTATAATACCACTATCAATTGACTGTGGAATATTTATTAGCAAGGAAATGTCACAGATGGACTTATTGCACAGGTGGCAACCTATCACTGTACCACGCTTGAATTCACTGAGCTCCTGAGAGGGACCCATTCTTTCACAAATGTTTGTAGAAGCAGTCTGCATGCCTAGGTGCTTGATTTTATACACCTGTGGCCATGGAGGTGATTTTAACACCTAAATCCAATGATTTGGAGGGCTGGTCCCAATACCTTTGGTAATACTTTATAGTGTATCAGGAATATGAAATAATCTAAAATCTAATCTAAAATGTTGGGTTCACATTTTCTTTAAGTATTGTATTTATTTTAGAAGCCGACACATCTGTCCAAAAAGAGGGACAACTGAGAAGGCAAGAGGGAAAGAGGGATTTGGTTCTAAAAAGAGGGACAGTCCCTCCAAATGTGGGTCAGTTGGGAGGTATGCATTATGCACTATCACAATAAAAATAGAAATAGCATCTCAATAAACAGAGAACAAAGACATTGAGCTTAACCTCAATCTCAACCTCCCTCTATCCAGGAAGAAAAGTAATACAATGGTGTGATAAGAAAGGTACTCTAACTTTAAACCCCCCTAGCGGTCTGATTATGTCCATATTTCTGTGCTCAAAGCGGTACATTTTTTTTTGCATGGAAATATGTATTTTTTTTATTATAGGCCTGTAATTTTTAGGAATAACTCACTGAAATCTGTCCGAACAAGAGTCTAGTAAACATCCCGGGTATGTTAAAATTTGAAACACGAAATCATAAATTATAATTTAATAAATAATCATTAAAAATAATAATATAATAATAATAAATTTAATTCAATAATATAATCAAACCAAAAACACTGAAATGTGAAATATAGCGCCAAGTTCGCACATCGCTGAGCAAAATCGCAAAATCGTTTTGAGTGTCTGATGACGAATTACCCTACGAATAATTATCACTCAATTCTGCAAGTAGTTCTAATTTACTATCGCTGTTCTCTAGCCGGTCTAAAACTGCTTTGACCTAAAGGGACGCTTTTTGGACGCCATGGACGTTTCTCAGTTTCAAGACAGAAAGAACAGTAAAAATGCAGGCAGGGCACAGGACAAAGCACTAGGGACAAAATGTATGTGAAATGCTTTGATAATGTTTTACTATGTGATTTTAGTGTATTTAGTGAATGTCACTTTTTGTCATTTTCAAATTTCCCACCAGTTCCGTCCCCATACGTCCCGACGCTCGCAGGGGACGGAACCCAGATGACAGATGCTGGCATCCGCCGGAGGACATTGCCGGGGACACTGCAGGAGGGACATCGCGGGAGCGCAGGACAAGGTAAGAGATGAACAGATCTCGGAGCAGGGCCGCATGGTAAGCCCGAGTGTAGCTCGGGGTTACCGCTTTTGGTACTGAAACTTTACCCCGAGCTACACTCGGGAATACCGCCAGGGAGGTTAAAGTACGCAAATATGCGGCCCCTCGGCGGGTGGGCCTTGAAGCTGAGAGACTGCATACTTGCGTACCAGATGTAAGCAAACATGTGCCGAGAGTGTGCGCCCTGTGCACTCCCAGCACAAATACTGGCTCCTATCAGAAAGATCCCGACCGCTACTTGTGATGGGAACTTTCAGATCATGTGACCACTGTGACCACCAATCATGGCGGTCACAGGGTCATAAACCCTGCTCCTCCTCCCAGCATCACAAATCCCTGAAAGGGCCGGGAGGCCTGGAGCCAAAGGGTTAAAGTATAGCTAAATGCAAAACTTTTTTTTTTTAGTTTTAGACATAGTGCAGCTGTCAGGTTTTTATTGCTGTCTGTGCCCCAGTAAGAGAGATTCACCTTCTCTATTTGTCATGTTTACCATTATCATTGAAAGTAAAAGTAAAGGAAAACCCCAATTTTGGGTTGTCCCCAGAAAAGTAAGCAAAGAGAAATTTTCCAAGTTTACTAGTTCTAGTGGCCTAGGGGTTTCCCAAGGAATTCCCTTCATTTGCAGGGATTATATCTCACTTTTTGTTTTGGCTATGGGACAAGATATAACAAAAAATAAACTGACAGGGTTTATAACCCTCCATTAAAAAATAACAAAAAAATACTTATAGTTCTACTTTAAACACTCAATTTTTAAACTCTTTTAGCAGCTGATCTAATCACTTACTAAGTATGCAGCACATACTTACTTACTAAATATGCAATTCTAAAACCATTCTCATTCACTTTGCACATGGACACAGAAACAAACAGAAAACAAATGGTGGACATCTGCAACAATTAAAATCCTTTCAATGTATACAGAACACACAGAAGGGAATGCTTTTTTCTTAACAAAAGTAGAGTTACTCTTTAAGGCAGTCCATTTTAACCACTTCCCGTCCACCCTATAGCAGAAATACTGCTACAGGGCGGCACAGGTGTGCAAAATCATATATATATATATGTATATAAGTGATTTAGCATCTCCAGGTAGGAGGCATGCGCGATACGCGCCCTACCATGCTGCCATTCGCGGCCGCAGCTGTCAATCATTGGGTTCCGCCCAGTAATTTCTCACTGGCACCTGGTGATTTCCGAAGATCTCCGACAGGGAGGAGGACTGTTTTGTTTACTAACAGTCCTCCTCCCTCTCAGCTCGGGCACACACTGCTGTGGATGGCTGTGCACAGCACAGCCATCCAGAGCATTGTGATTACAGTGCTTACAGTGATTACAGTGAAGCACATACATGCAGCGCACATAATGTAAAACAGCACATAGTTAACCCTTTCATCGCCCCAGATGTTAACCCTTCCTGCCCAGTGCCATTAGTACAGTGTCAGTGCTTTTTTTTTATCACTGATCACTGCATTGGTGTCACTTGGGGACGTCAGTGACACCAAGTCAGTTCCCCCCAGTGTCAGAATGTCCACTGCAGTCCAGCTATAAGTCGCTGATTACTAATAAAAATAAAAAATACAAAAAAAATTTCAGTATATATACCTCCATTTGTAAACACTATAACTGTCACATAAACCAATTCAGTTACACGTACTGAGATTTTTTTTTTTTAGCAAAGACATGTAGCAGAATACATTTTAGTGTAAATTTATGACAAAATTAGATTTTTTAATTTTTTTCTACTGGACATGCTTAATAGCAAACAGTCAAAAATATTGTTTTTTTAGCAGAAAAAATAAAAACCGCACAGGTGATCAAATACCACCAAAATAAAGCTCAATTCGTGGGAAGAAAAGGACATAAATTTAATTTGGGTGCAGCTCTGCAATTGTCAGTAATGCAGCGCCGTAACACAAAAAACGCCCTGGTCAGGAAGGGGGGTAAATCCTCTGGAGGGCAAGCACACCATTAAGGCTGCTTTCACACTGATGCGCTTTGCTGCACTAAAACACACTTTCCAGTGCAACAAAAGCACATAAAAATATTTCCCCTTTAAATCCTATGGGGCTCTTCACACTACTTCTCTGTGGGTGCGGTGTGTTTTGAAAAGTCCTACGTGCTGCATCTTTGCTTTGTTTTTCAAAGCCACACCAAAAATGTTCCTCCCAATTAATATGAATGCAAAAACGTAGCAAAAGTGCATCTAAAATGCATCACGTTTGCGTTCTTGATGCCTCTTTTGAGTCAATTTTCACAGGAACGGCTATGGCTGCTATCTCTGAGGAAGGGGGTCATTTCCCCCGAAAGCACGTCAGCTGGTTTATTATCCTGTCTCCTGTTGGTGGTGGAGAGCAGATATTTGGGACTGCGCACTTTACACTTTTATACTGCCTTTAGCTCACCTGGATTGTGAGTATATTTGGTTTCTCTATACCCTTTATTATTATTATTATTATTATACAGGATTTATATAGCGCCAACAGTTTTCTCAGCGCTTTACAATATAACAGGAGACAATACAGCAACAATACAGTTCAATACAAGAGGGTTAGGAGGGCCCTGCTCCTTGGAGCTTACAATCTAATAAAGTGTTAATGATAATGCACTAGGTGTTTGTGCCCTCTCTGTTTGTGTTTTGTATATTGTGGCAAAGTCTTGCTATTATAAATCTGCAGTGTTGTTGGGTGGTGTTTGCGTTCTCTAGTTCGGGTCCAAAGTTTACCTCTATTAATACAACTGTTACCACTGTTACGTGGTCAGTCTCAGGTATGCAGTTGTAGTTCTCATGTACTGCAAAATAGTCACCAAGGAAAAAATGTTGTTTGACTAGTGTTACTGCTTTTCCCTTAGTAGGTGTGGAAGGTTGTTTCTATTAACACAATGATAGGTTTTTTTCTGTTTGCATGCAGTAATAACTGTAACCATACCCTTACAACAAAACATATGCTGAGTACAAAATGTGGGCTGCCATTATTGACCTCTCCTTGTTAGCTGTAAAAACGCTCTAACGCTGAAAATCACTGTAAAACGCAGTAAATTGCAGCAAGCCGGCGTTTTTTTTTAGACTTTTTTTGACCCCCCCCAGCATTTTGTTTAGTAAAAAAAAACTCTAAAAAATGCAAACGTGAAAAAGCACTGCAAAACGCTGCTAAACACTAATTTAAAAATGCCAAAAATGCTGAAAAACTCAAGTTTTTAACATGACTTTACACAGCTAACGTTACCAGCGTTATTAAAAGGCCCAGTGTGCATGGAACCTTACCGTGATTTACCGCGTTTTGCAGCATTAGAGCATTTTTGCAGCTAAGAATCTCCTCTAGAAACCCACTAGTTCTGTTTTTTTTTCCAGCCAAAAAGCGTTCCTGCCAAAAAACGCTGATTACAATCTATGTGTGCATGGACACATAGGATAACATGCTGGGGGGTTTACTGGCTGTAGAAAAAAATGATAAAAGCCAAAAACATCCGCTTTAAAAATGGCCAGTGTGCATGAGGACTTACAATGCTAGTTATCAATGTGGTATAGTAAATAAAAGTGAGCGCTCTAAGGTAAGCAGCTGGACACTCGAGGAAACCAAGTAAAAACCTCCGTCACAAACATATAATGGGAAAGTGCAGTGCTATATAATGAAAATAGGTATATAATGTCCCCAATAACATTAGCATATAACAGTGACAGTCTATATGGTGAAGACAATATGGTGTAATGATCCAATCCAGTGGCGGTGCTCCCAGTGATAAGGTAAGAAGTACGCACTCACCAGAAGCGTAATTCAAATTCGTAATGTGTAAATCAACACGGATCTCCTTCACAGATATAGGTCCGGACTGGAACACAGGATAATTACCCCCAGCATCTGTGCCAGTTAACACAATAATAACCCCCAGCATCAGTGCCAGTTTACACAACAATAACCCCCAGCATCTGTGCCAGTTTACGCAATAATAACCCCCAGCATCAGTGCCAGTTTACACAATAATAACCCCCAGCATTGAGCAGTAAATGCAGTAAGAAACCCCAGCATTGATGTTAATAGCAGCAATAATAATGCCCAGCATCACTGCTAGTTTATGCAATAACCCCTAGCATCAGTGCCAGTTTATGCAATAATAGTAATCCCCAGCATTGGTGTCAGTAGCAAAAAGAATAATCTCTAGCATCAGTGCCAGTTTATGCAATAATAACCCCCAGCATCTGTGCCAGTTTACACAATAATAACCCCCAGCATCAGTGCCAGTTTACACAATAATAACTCCAGCATCTGTGCCAGTTTACACAATAGTAACCCCCAGCATCAGTGCCAGTTTACACAATAATAACCCCCAGCATCAGTGCCAGTTTACACAATAATAACTCCAGCATCTGTGCCAGTTTACACAATAGTAACCCCCAGCATCAGTGCCAGTTTACACAATAATAACCCCCAGCATCAGTGCCAGTTTACACAATAATAACCCCCAGCATCAGTGCCAGTTTACACAATAATAACCGCTAGCATCAGTGCCAGTTTACACAATAATTACCCCCAGCATCAGTGCCAGTTTACACAATAATTACCCCCAGCATCAGTGCCAGTTTACACAATAATTACCCCCAGCATCTGTGCCAGTTTACACAATAATTACCCCTAGCATCTGTGCCAGTTTGTGCATTATTAATTCCCAGCATTGGTGTCAGTATAAAAAGAATAATACCTAGCATCAGTGCCAGTTTACACTATATTAATCCACACATTGGTGTCAGTAGCAGCAAAAAAAGTGGCAAAAACGTAGAGGCTGATCTGCTGACAGCGTAAAGATTTACTGCTGCTCAGGGGTCCTGGGCTTCAGCAAAATGGCAGCCTCCAGAAAGAAGAAACAGGACCAATGCTGGAGGCAATTTACAGCACACATTAATTTTGGTAGCATAATTGTTAATGTGGAATGATGACCGGAACCACACCGATTTCCAAAGTACTGCATGCACTACATTTGGTGCGATTTGCATAGACATCTGTGTCAGATGTCTATGCAAATCGCACCTCAAATCGTCATGTCATCTGACTGTGAAATTGTGCGGCTTCAATGTAAGTCACATGATTTCAAAGTCAGGATCGATGTGACCGGGGGGGGGGGGGTAAGGCACAAAGAAAAACACTAATGTACTGCGGTGCACAAAAATGCAGCATGTCTGCATTTTTCTTGCAGTGCACTGGATGGCAGTAAATCTTTAGGCTGTCAGCAGATCAACCTCTACATTTTTGGCACAGTACCAAAAAATAAGGGACAACTGAGCATTTGCAGAGCAGGGTAACACAGTGTATTACTGTTTTATTTTAAACAGTAAAAGCACTTATTTTTAATGTTTTACAAAGATATGACCACTGTAATTGCAGACAATAGTGTGCAACTTAGCATGCGATTTGCAAGTCGCGGGGCATGCAAATTGCATGCCAAGTCGCACCTGATGTGACAGGGGTGACCAATGTTTATCCAGTGTGGAAAGATGCAGGTCACTGCGCATAGTGTGAACCAACCCTGTGTAAGACAGGTTCCACCTGCACACTGCATATGGATCATTGACACCTAATCTGGAACATCTGATTTTGATTTCATGAATTTGAAATGGTGGTACTGTAAATGTAGGGTTGTACTTACATTTTCCATGTGAAAAATTATTATTATGGATTATGTGAATGAAAACACCAGTCAGTTATGTTTTATTTGTTCAACTATCACAACTTTATCATTAGGCACTGTTTGAATGGAGGCATAATGTTTGCCTTTCCAGATACACTGAAAAGGTCAACCATTTCTACATGGTATACCCCACTTTTTTCACTTAAAGGTGCCTATACATGTAAGTGTTATTGATATATTGTTTTCATTTACTCAGCAGATAATCAGACCATATACACTATGTTGCCCAAAGTATTGGGACACCTGCCTTTACACACACTCCACATGAACTTTAATGGCATCCCAGTCTTAGTAACATAGGGTTCAATATTGAGTTGGCCCACCCTTTGCTGCTTTACACACACATAACTTTAATGGCTTCTTAGTACATAGGGTTCTATTGAGGACTCTTTGCAGCTCTAACAGCTTCAACTCTATGGGAATGTTTGACCATTCTTCCAGAAGCGCATTTGTGAGGTCAGGCACTGATGTCCGACGAGAAGGCCTGACTCTCAGTCTCCTCTCTAATTCACCCCAAAGGTGTTTGTTCTATCAGCAGGCCAGTCAAGTTCCTCCACATCAAACTCACTCATCCATGTCTTTATGGACCTTGCTTTGTGCACTGGTGCGCAGTCATGTTGATACAGGAAGAGGCCATCCCCAAACTGTTCCCACAAAGTTGGGAGCATGAAATTGTCTGAAATAGCTTGGTATGCTGATGCCTTAAGAGTTTGCTTCACTGAAACTAAGGGGCCAAGCCCAACCCCTGGGGAACAACCCCACACCATAATCCCCTCTTCCACCTTTACACTTGGCACAATGCAGTCAGGCAAGTACTGTTCTCCTGGAAACCGCCAAACCCAGAAAAGTCCATCAGATTGCCAGACAGAGAAGCATGATTGGTGACTCCTGAGAACACGTCTCTACTGCTCTAGAGTCCAGTGGCGGCGTACTTTACACCACTACATCCAACGCTTTGCATTGCACTTGGTAATATAAGGCTTGGATGCAGCTGCTCGACCATGGAAATTCATTCTATGAAGCTCTCTATGCCCTGTTGTGCTAATCTGAAGGCCACACAAAGTTTGGAGGTCTTTAGCTATTGACTCTGCAAACAGTTGGCGAATTCTGCGCACTGTGCGCTTCAGCATGCGCTGACCCCGCTCTGTCATTTTACATGGCCTACCACTTCGTGGCTGAGTTGCTGTTGTTCCCAGTTTGCTTCCACTTTGTTATAATACCACTAACAGGTAACCATGGAATATTTGGTAGCAAGGAAATGTCACGGATGGACTTATTGTACATGTGACAACCTATCACGATACCACACTTGAATTCATTGAGCTCCTGAAAGCAACCCATTCTTTCACAAATGTTTGTAGAAGCAGTCTGCATGCCTAGGTGCTTGATTTTATACACCTGTGGCCATGGAGGTGATTGGAATACCTGAATCCAGTGATTTGGAGGGGTGTCCCAATACTTTTAGCAATATGGTGTTTATTGAGTTCCAGCTATCAATACAAAGTCACAGGTGAACAATGGCTTCCGCCAGCATTATAGCTGAACACACTCTCTAGGTGTGCACCAGCCCTATCTACTGGCTATTCATAGGATTGCAGCAGATGCCACAGATGATCTCATTCCAGTTTGGCTTTTGGATTATATCTGTCTGACTTCTGCCCCAAACTCAACCTGTTATTTGTTTTTTAAAAACAACTGGTATCTTTGTCTTCTGCACATACCTTGAGTCTGGTTGAAGACATCTGTTCAGACCAATTAATATGTTTGATGGTCCTCACCTTGTCTTTTGATTTAGTACTTGACCTCACGTACCTGACCACAACATCAGCCAGCCAGCTGATTTCTTATTCTATGTATCTTTAAAGAATCCATGCCTGCTACCCTTGACAACTCAGATATCAACAATCTTACAAGGGCCCAACTAGCATGATTATGGAATTAACATATACCTACTTCTATTGTCCTCTGCAGGATATAACATTTGCACAGTTGTTGAAAATTTCTATGTTATTCATATTATTATAGGTGTTCATATCTGCTAGAGACTGTGCTGCCCATACTAAGATTGGCCATAGATGTTTCGATAGAGATTAGATTCTTCCCTGGTATAGAACATTGGAAGCGAACAAGTCGATCAATTGGGAGCCTGCTGGATCGATTGTGCTGGCTAGGCTGAATGAGTACCAAGTTGATGGACTTTTCTGGGTTTCGTTTCCAGGAAAACAGTAACTTGGTGTAAAGGTGGAAGAGGGTACAACCAGCCTGCTGGATTGCGATTATCGCTAGCAGCTGCTTTAGACATTAGCAATAATCACTGTCTTCTCCCAGTGGGGATGGCTTTCCCTGCCCACCCCTGTCCTCCCACAGGGAGAAGACAACTGCTCAGCAGGAGGAATACCCCTGTCAGCACTATGTCAGGGGTCTCCAAACTGTGGCCTCAGGGCCAGATGTGGCCCTTTGCTACCCTTTATCTGGCCCTTGGGGCACTATTGCTCCCACTGAGACCAAGAATGTGGCAGTACTTCTTCCATTGAAAGCAATGATGGGCACTACTCCTCCTACTGACCATCAACCCTGTGACCATGTTTATTCTCACTGATGCTGGGGCCAGGACATTTTCTGTCTTTGCTGGCCCTAATCTGGTCCTCCTAAAGGACAGTATACTGGCCCTTGGTTTGAAAAGTTTGGAGACCTCTGGTCTATGTTGATGGGGGAATCATGCAAATTTCTTTACTGGGTTTCTTTATTGGGTCTTTCTGACCACGGGTTGCAGGAAAGAAATTCGCACCGTCTATCGCATGCCTAAGTCCTAGTACACATGATCAGAAAATCATACAAAAAAGACCGCTGTGGAAGTGATCTTATGATAATCTGATTGTTAGTACACAGCTCTCATCCGAAATTATTTGAAGGGACAAGTCCGAAAATACAATATAAATACAATACAATACATTACATGACTTTCACATTTTTATTCTGACGTACAAGAGTTTTCGTAACTTTAATAAGCTCTTCACTTTTGATATGAGACTAGTGTGCAAAAGGACAATCATTTGTCTGATATTCTGATTGTGTTTATGGGGCTTTAGTCTTCGGTCACACCAAATCTGACTGTGAAATAGTGTGACTTCACTTGAATTCGCATGATTTCAAAGTCAGATGTCAGTGAGACTTCAAGTGCAACTTGGAAGACATGTGTGCAACTTCATGCACAGGTGTCTATGCGAGTTGCACCTGAACTTGCAAAAAGTAGTGCATGAAGTACTTTCAAAACTGGTACGACTCTGATCAAATCGCTCTGCAAGTCGCACGGGTATGATCAGGGACTTATACAGGCCATAGATAATGTGATTTTCTTTCCTGCAACCACAATAGCTCCGTGGGAGGCATTTCCCCATCAACACAGTAAGTATTGATGGGGGAATGCCTCCTGTTGAGCTATTGTGTTCACCCTGCAGGGGGGCAGGAGAAGCCATCCCTTCCAGGAGAACACAGTACTTATTGAGAGGTGCTGTAGCTGCTAGCAATAATTGCATGTGAAAATCTGACATGCTGGTTGTACCCAAGTTGATCGATGAATCGACTTGGGTACAATCAGCCTGCCCATAGATGGTTTGAATCTTGGATGTTCCCTGCTGAACCTAAGTCTGAGAATCTAACCATCTATCGCCGGATAAGTCTGGAAAAGTGATAAGTTCTCTTGAGAGTCCACCCTCTCCATTGATACTCACCCTTTGTACTTATTCCCTACACCATTCACCCTTGTTGCCACCCCACCCATACCCCCAGTCCACATTCTATAATCTTTCCATGTCTTCCTATATATTTCTATCTATGTTTATATCCCTTTCCTTCATCTAAAGCCCCATAGCAATTCAGTTACCCATTCATACTTTCTCAACTCTTACTACCTTAAGCTCCTACCATTTCCCAATATCTTTTAGATGATTTAAAATCATACCATCTACTCCGCACTTCTCTACATTTTTTCCATTTTATCCTCTTCCATTTGATATAACTCCTCCATCTTATTTATGTATTCGACTCTCTTTATTCACTCTATTTTTGGGGTTTTTTGGACGAACCAATATTTAGGGATAAGATTTTTGGCCGCACTAATTACCGTATTTTTCGCTCCATAAGACGCACTTTTTTCCCCCCCAAAAAAAGGGGGGAAAATGTCAGTGCGTCTTATGGAGCGAATATAAAGCGGCCGGTCCGGTATTTCTGCCGCCACCATGTCAGAATACCGGGCCGGCCGCTCAGCTGTTCTCTCCTGCAGGGCCTTACCTGTTCCTCGCTCCAGCGCTGCACAGTCTTCCCGCGCTGGCTTCTGTGACAGCCGGGTGCCCACTGCGCATGTGCTGCGCTTTGTGAATGATCCGGTGTCTTCTGGGGACACATGACAGGTCCCAGAAGGCGCCGGGCCATTCACAAAGCGCAGCGCTTCTCGCGCATGCGCAGTGGGCACCCGGCTGTCACAGAAGCCGGCCCGGGAAGAAGGAAGGAAGGACAACTCCGCGGAAGTGGGAGCGGGTACCTGTCAAATTCAGGTACCCGCTCCCCCTCCCTCCCCAAATCAGCAGTCTCTGGTCATTCCCTGCACTGTCTGCAGTCTCTGGTCATTCCCTGCACTGTTGCAGTCTCTGGTCATCCCCTGCACTGTCTACAGTCTCTGGTCATCTCCTGTACTGTGTCCGCAGTCTCCATCTCCTGTACTGTGTCCGCAGTCTCTGGTTATCTCCTGTACAGTCTCTCATCTCCTGTACTGTGTCCGCAGTCTCTGGTCATCTCCTGCACTGTGTCCGCAGTCTCTGGTCATCCCCTGCACTGTGTCCGCAGTCTCTGGTCATCCCCTGCACTGTGTCCGCAGTCTCTGGTCATCCCTGCACTGTGTCCGCAGTCTCTGGTCATCCCCTGCACTGTGTCCGCAGTCTCTGGTCATCCCCTGCACTGTGTCCGCAGTCTCTGGTCATCCCCTGCACTGTGTCCGCAGTCTCTGGTCATCCCCTGCACTGTGTCCGCAGTCTCTGGTCATCCCCTGCACTGTGTCCGCAGTCTCTGGTCATCCCCTGCACTGTGTCCGCAGTCTCTGGTCATCCCCTGCACTGTGTCCGCAGTCTCTGGTCATCCCCTGCACTGTGTCCGCAGTCTCTGGTCATCCCCTGCACTGTGTCCGCAGTCTCTGGTCATCTCCTGCACTGTGTCCGCAGTCTCTGGTCATCTCCTGCACTGTGTCCGCAGTCTCTGGTCATCTCCTGCACTGTGTTTCTGGTCATCTCCTGCACTGTGTCCGCAGTCTCTGGTCATCTCCTGCACTGTGTCCGCAGTCTCTGGTCATCTCCTGTACTGTGTCCGCAGTCTCTGGTCATCTCCTGTACTGTGTCCGCAGTCTTTGGTCATCCCCTGTACTATGTCTGCAGTCCATTGGTTCAGAATATTTTTTTTCTTGTTTTTCCCCTCTAAAACCTAGGTGCGTCTTATGGTCAGGTGCGTTTATGGAGAGAAAAATACGGTAGGTGATATAATACACTATTTTTGTATTATTTCACAGAAGTCTCAGTGTTATAAAATATAAAAACCCATGGGTCCCTCTGAACAATTGTCCCCAATATCTCCTGTATATATCTTACAAAGGGTTTAGACCTACATCTCCGACAGAGGAATGAAAAGATGTGTAAGTTCAATTTAATTATCAGTGGTGGAGGGATGAGCTGTTGAGAGAACCTCCCATGCATGGCTCAATGTACATCGATGACAAGATTTTGTGCTGTGATAATGCGACTTCTGTGCACAAGTGTGGAAGTGACGTCATTGCAGACTGGACCAGCCAAGCAGCCAAAAAGTCAGAACCTGGAAGGAAGACCAGGAGAAGATGGAAGAGCCTGTGACAGCCGAGAGTGCTGACACCACAGTACTGGAGGAGGTCATTTGGCAGGTATGTCTCCCATAATGTGCTAAGATGCAGTACATACTAGTACAATATGGAATACAACTCTGCTTTAAACTGGAACATAGGCAAGGATTAAACAATAAAGAAGCTACACACTCAGTAAGTGATTAAATCAGCTGCTGAAAGTGTTTAAAAAACCTGAAGGTTTAAAATCATGTCAATGGAAATCTATGGTCACAGCATACATTTTCGTTTTATAACATCAGCAGTGTAATAACGAGAAACAAAAGTTATTTTTATTAATTGAATATATTCTTACTTGAAGATTCTTCTTTCAATGTTGTGAATGCTGCTTGTCTCCTGGCCATCTTCCACAAATTCTTGGGTTCTCTGCATGCTTTGCAGCTTCTCCTCTGTTGTTTTGTATTTGATTTCTAAGGACTACATATCCCATGGTACTTTGCTGCCTGCAAGCAGATTCATAGGTGACTCTACCTCCTGAAACTCCTCTCTCATTGGATCAGATTGGAGCTAGACAGGTGTAAATGGACACAGGTTTGCTTACATCCACCATTCCGTACAGAAGAGTGGAGGGTCCAAGCAGGTTCATCTGAAAAAACAAACAGGCAGACCCAACCGAACTGTGCATGTGAAAGAGGCCTTAGAATAAATGCAAGCCAATAGG